ATACGAAATTTTTTTGTCTGGAGGGGCTTTAGATTCCTTAAATTTCGTGAGACTAATTTGATTTGTATAGATAGATACCTTCAAATGGGATTTATTTATGAACGTAATGTTATGATTTTTAGTAGAAAAAACTAGTGTAGCGTCCAAGGCAAAGCGAAAGAGGTAGGAAATTATCTCAATTTTGAATAAACTAAAATGACCGGCGAGAGGTCAATGGAAGAACATTGAGTGCGACTTTACGCGGGCTAAAGGTGGCAGTCCGTTTTAAACAAAACAAAATAAGGCCACACTATATTTGTTTACGTCTGATATGTATTTTTTCATGTGCGATGCACGTGGTGATGAATATTTTTTGGCAATTAAGTTTAGTAAAATAAATTAGTTAATTTATTAAATAAATCATTGCAAAAATGAAGTAAAATGTAGAACAAATAAGCTTCTTCTTTTTTTAAAATAACATAATGATGTCCTAATAAAAAAAATTGAAAGAACATATTACAACTCCAAGAAAATATAGTCCATGGGAATAAAACACTAAGTAACTAAATAAAGACCTAATGTATAATATAGATACATTAGTTCTTTTATTTATTATATTAGATGATTCAAGAGTAATTTTCTTTCATTTTGATTTTGACGTTTTCGTAAGAAGCATTCATACCCGTTGAAGCTCAATACATTAATAGTATTGCAAAATTCTTCTTAATTCATTCGGGAAAATGTCTACATTATTCAAACACTTATAAATATTCTAGCTAAATAGTCAGACTTCATGATTGTGTGGTCTTAATAATGTATTAATACTAACAGTTCATGAATATCTCTGTAAAATAACCAAGGTGCCATTACAATTGTTAGTATTTTTTTTTATCATTGTATAAACTACTTTATTACTCTCTCTCTCTCTCCACATATAGACAAATTGTTACCTATCTCATGAAGGCATCGCCCCACGGTGTAGGAAAAAAATACATCTCCAAATAAAAATTGACTTACCAAAATCTTAGTTATATGTACTTCTCCCGAGGTGTTAAATTACTTTCTGAAATCATCATATTACATGAAAGTATGTACACTAATGTAATTGCACATATGTTCAATCACAGTGAGATTGTAATATTCCAATCAAAAAGTGACAATTTCATTCAAACATTAAAGAATGTATTGAGCCTGGAAATTTTTTTTCAATGTCAAGATGACGAACTATATAATTTATTGTTTGCAAATCATTCATCATCTTGGTTGTTGCAATTATTTTAGAATTGTTTATCATAATATTTTCACATTCATTCGGATTTGCAAACTTATGTGCCTAATAACTTCTTTAATGCTTTTATTGTCCAATTTTTTTTGCATCATACGTAATGCTTTGAAAATTCAAGATAAAGAACTCTTCTTGATTCTTCGACAATGACAAACAAAACAAAACAAAACAATTAGACAATATTGAAAAACATATTATTTGTTAAAATAATTGAGAGAATAAAAATTAGAATTCTATTATATTATGATACTCTAAGTCGTCTGCGAACTTTATTATCACGAAGTTATTATTAAACCTAAATTATCTATTACAAAGTTTTATTTCTTTAATATTTTAAATTTGATAATATAGGGTCATTATTTATGAAAACCAATTTCTTACATATATATTTAAACGATAGCAAAAAAATATTGTAATTTTAGAAGACTTTTGTTTTTAGATTTGGTATTCATATTTCTCTAAAAAAATTTAGATGTCTTCTTTATGCATTGCATTATTATTTATTTATTTATTTTTTATTCTATTCACAAATAATATTTATTTGCTAAAAAAATTAGAGCACAATTATATGTATCGCGTCATTTTTAATACGTATTTGATATAACGACGTTATCAAAATATCTTAATTATTAGGCTGCAACTAATATAATACAATAAATACTATTAAATATTACTTATTTATTTAGTTATAATAATAATATTATATTTGATAAATATGTATTTTTATACTGGTTATAAGTTTAAAAATTTTAGGGTTTTTTTTCATTGTTTGATAAAATATCAAATAACTAACTCATTTTCATATTTACAATTATTGTGTTCCCTTTCCCTTTTATGCAGTAATTGAATAATTGTTATAAATACAATTCATACGTTTGTCCTTTTAATTCACATAGTTAATGTTGGTAATGGATGTATGTTTACATCTATTTTGTAATTTTTTTTCTTATTTGTATGAATATTTCAAATCTATGTAAAAAAATATAACACAAGTTTATTGTATGTCTTTTTTATACTTAATAAAATTGATCCAACATGAATTTAAAATTTATTTTATAAGTTACTCTGTAATAGGCTTGACACATGCCTCCATCCCAAAATATATAGGATAAGGATCTATAAAAATTGTGGGAACATTTTTTATAATTTTAATCATGTCCCTTATTTTGAAGAAAACAAATAAATTAAAAATTACATAGTGAATTTTTTTACAACTCAATCAATTATATTTTAATTTAGCTCATAACTTTATTAAAGTTATAACACAAACATGGTATCACAACTAAAGAAAATATGATCAAATCTTAAAATTATAATTTTAGCATCTAAATATATTTCTTATATCTTGATGATATTTTCTATTCTCTCTCTCTTTTTTTTTTTGAAACATATTGTTTTCTCTAACATTAAAATATACTTTTTATATATATTTTTTAACTAATGTATGTGGAATATATGTTGATAATTCACCAGTTATGTTGTTTAGTGAACTATACTATAATATAAATTTCTTGTTCATAAAAAAATTGAAAAATAAATAATTTCAACGATTTTCATATGTTGAATTGAAAAAAAAAAATATTCTCTTTATCTTAAATATTTTTTAACTTATTGTGACTGTATTGTTGTATTAGAACTTAAAAATTTATTATAAATGAAAAAGATGTCAAATTATGAAATATATATATATATATATATATATATATATATATAAATTGACGGGATTTTGTTAGTTTGATGGTATACTTTTCTATTAACTAAAGATGTCCCCTATAATTTTTGATCTACCACTACAATTAGTTTTTAATGTAACTTACATTGGTTTTTTTTTTTACAATTCCAATGACAGTTTTGCCAACGGTTGAAATATGGACCGAAAAAAGAAATTCAAAGGAAATTCAATGAAATAATGGTAATTG